GCTCCCGGTCAAATTGGCTGAAATTTGGATATGTTGTTCGTTTTGGCATCCTGAGCAAAAGCACAAAGCTCAATTTTACTTATTTTGGCTCCTACGGAGCTCCAAAGCTCCACGGATTGATCATTATTTACTATTTAAAAAGGCAATCTCCTCGAAAGTTTAGTATTTGCTGAGTTAAAAAAGAAGTACCTTCTTATGTTTTCGGGGTCGCTGCATTCAAATCCAATGCCAATATAATAATATTGACAGTTGACAGCTGTCAACTAGCTGTCAAACAACAAGCAATAATCAAAATTGATAAAATTCACATGTAAATATCTGTTTTTGAGGTTGGTAAGTTTTAAACTGATGTTAATAACTCGATATTGACAGTTGACAGCCGTCAACTAACTGTCAAAAAATATGTGACAATCAAAATTGACAAAATTCAGGAGTAAATGGATGTCTTCGAGGTTGCTGAGTTCAAAACTGATGTCAAAAAGACGATATTGACAGGAATGGAGCTGATGCTGAATTGGCAAATAGAATAATTGAAAAAGCAAGAGAACCAAATATAGTGCAAGCATTTGTAGATGTAAACAATATTTTTGCTAGAAACATAAATAGATAGGTTCGAATGGATGCTGTCCATCTAATGGAATTCCCACAACTATGGAATATTTACAAGATTTGACCATTTGGGTATATCAAGTAAGGCTTGCACCCTCTTACGTGCAAGACAAGCTCCAAAGAGACACAAATGAAGAGTTTCAGTTTGAAATGCTTAGAGAGAACAATTTTCCCGAGCGTGGTTTGCTTAGGAGTTAGAGTTTATTCTCGATTCCGAAATGCCACAAAACATCAGCTTTGCATCACCTTTAAATCAAATGATGAGACTGAAGGAAACGAGGAAGATTATGAATTCAACAAGAATGAAGAGCCCATTTTTGGTTATTATTGCACTTGTCCGTCCGATGCTCGTATTGTTGGTACTTGTGCCCATGTTGCAAGTGTCCTATGGTTCTTAGGATATGCAAGGCACGAACCTAATATTCGTTATTCATCAACTAGTATCATTAATACTATTCGAGATGCAAGAAACCGTCCACAATAACTAAACTGTAATATTACATTATATTTTCCTAAATGCATTGATAAAAGTCTAAAAGACTCAAATCAGAGTTCGTGATATATATCGTCCTGTATTATAAATAGGTTGATAAAAAATATCGTGAAATCATAGATCCAATAAAACAATCGGCCCTTTTCAGGGCCAAGATGTACAAAAACCGATCGCGCGATCTTCACGTGGCGTACATCGGGTAACGCTAACGCCGACGGTAGAAATAATATTGCGGTGGTTTGACAGTTATTTGACAGCTGTCAACTGTCAATATCGAGTTGTTAACATCAGTTTTGAACATGGTTGCCTCAAAAACATATATTTACATGTGGATTTTATCAATTTTGATTATTCCTTGTTGTTTGACAGCGTGTTGACAGCTGTTAACTGTCCATATTATTATATTGGCATTGGATTTGAATGCAGCGACCCCGAAAACATAAGAAGGTTCTTCTTTTTTAACGGAGCAAATACTAAACTTTCGAGGAGATTGCCTTTTTTAAGTAGCAAATAATGGTCAATCCGTGAAGCTTTGGAGCTCCGTAGGAGCCAAAATAAGCAAACTTGAGCTTTGTGCCCATTGAGACTTTTGCTCAGGATGCCGAAACAAACAACATATCCAAATTTCAGCTAATTTGACCGGGAGACAATTTGCATAAGATTTGTGCGGGGTTCTTTGAGAACACATTTTTGGTATAATGTGCAATTTCTGAGGCTGGTTTCATTTTACAGCCCTACATTGGTATTGTTCGTGGCGAGGCCTTAAATGCAGAGCGATATATTGAGGGATCTTTCTAAATTGCTTCAGTTCTTGAATACAAATCATGCGAATGACGAAATTATGTTTTGGCCAGATCTTGTCTCATACCATTATGCGAGAATCACAAGGGATTGGTACCAGGCACGCCCAATTGAAAACTTCTAGGCAATATTGATCCAGAAAGTGTACAATAACGGACGGAAAGCACAAAATCGAGAACAACTCTGACGTCGTATACCGGGAAAAATTAGAGAAATCAATGCTGGGGTCGTCCAAAGGATGAATCAACGCGTCAGGGGGAAAACTTAGACATTTCGAAGATAACGGACCCTTGTCGATTATTTGAACTTTAGGTAGTAATAAGAATAGTTAAGAGATATTGTATGAATATTTATAAGAATATAAAAATATTTTTACAAGAGTTGTCGGCATCTGATTTTTTACCAAAAACTTTTGGACTATACGTTAAAGAAATATTTGTTATGACAGACAGCTAGGCAGTCCTTAAAACACTGCAAATTAATATTGGACTATCAGCAGTTTCTGCAGGCTCTGAAAAACCTAGTAAGGTCACTCTAAAATGGATATCGGGACATGAAGTGATGATGGGAAACAACAAAGCAGATCTCCTGGGCAGGATAAGAGTTGAGAAAACTAACTGAATTCATATCAACATGTTAAAAGGGGACAAGCTCTGGTTGGAACTTCCTGGACTTAGGGCCATTTGCACCGCTAGTTGTTAAGAAATAAGCGAAGTAAAATGACATTGTTAATAGAGCCTTAAAAACTTTACAATATTCATTCAAAATCCATCTAAAAGCAGACAAAATCAACTGCTAAATTTTAAAAGGAAAGACTTAAAGACCGTAGTAGGAGTCTTAAAGAATAGATAGATTGAAATGGTTAGAACTGAGAACAGGTTTTTGATTTCTAATAGGAACAATATTTGGACTTCCTTCGAATCTAACAAAAAATACTTTCCATTTTGATTTATGTTGAAAATAAATAGTATAAAGTTGCTTCTAGAGACCTATAATAGATGTACAGGTGCAATATTATATATTTAAAATAATTTTACTTTTTAATTTAAGTTGGGAAAATGTTGGAACAATTAGTCTGTCAAATGATGAAAAACGTGGAATTACAAAATTATAAATAAGATCACTGCTTCCTATATTGATAAAATGACACTTTTTCACCTTAATAATGAATTAAATTGAACTCAATAAAGAAATGAAAAAATGTCAAGTGATTTTTTTAAATCTGATGAAATGAAGTGTAACCTGCAAAGTGATAAGCGTGTGGTGATATTGCCATAAAAATTCAAGCTTTGATGAGAAAAAAGCACTTTGAAGTTTTATCTCAAAATTACTACTAAATCGTATTTGGAAAAGACACTGATTTTTTCTTTATTAATTTCTTCATAAAAATAAATTATTATTGTAGTAATTTGGATCCAATGTTTAGGTTTAAAAAATGGATAAGATTAAGCTAATATTCGCATTTTTCATTTTCATAGTAACATGTCTTTTACAAATATTATTATTCGTTTTGTTATAAAACGTTTCTATAAAACAGACCAATATTAATACTTCTCAAATTTGATCTCATTGGGAAAAGATACCGCCAAGCAGATTTAACCTTTCCCGCTCTTGGTTTAAATCTAGTCTAAGCTGGTCTAGAACTGCCTTGAAATAGATTATCGATGAACTGGCAACAAGCAGGGGCGCTGGGTGCTGTGCAAGATATTTAACACATCGATCACTAGTCCCCAGCAGTGTGGCTCTGATTATGGCGTTACGGCTCGGAGCCCACTTGGACCGCAGAATAAATGGAATAGTGCATGAGATGAACGCATGGGAAGGAGTATGGCATCCAAATGGTGGCACAATAAGCCATCTGCGCTTCAATGCCACCATGCGAACCTCAAGAAAAGGGAAAGCAAGATGAATCCCACGCCTGATTAAGGGGGGCCAGTGGCTGTAGGCAAGCCTAATTAGGGGAATCTGTCGGAACCCTTCATGGGGGAGCAGAGAGATTCCTGAAACGGTTAAAAAGAACTGGTAACTGACAATAAGATAAAACTACCCTGTCATTAGTACATGAAGATATCCAAAAAAAAAATTAAAAGTTCGAATAACTCACCAAAGAGGGATCAGAACGACCATTTACATTACCCAAACCTGTGTTTGAAATAAGCAGAACATCAGCTCGACAGACGGTGAATAAGTGGATAAGACCAATCTCGCTAGCAACTGATAAGAGGAAACCAAATTAGTAACTCACATGCGGCCGTTGAGGTACTACAACACGCAATATCCCAGATTATCCAACGGAGTGTGCAATTACTAACTGGACACTGCTTAGTGAAATACCTACACACGTGATGGTTTTACATGATCCTACCTAATACCTCATATCATCAAATATAAAGCTTTAGCTAGGCAGCGATACAACCTTTTCGGTCTAGAACCAACTGGAGCGGTCTAGGAAAAATTGGTAGGCAACAGGGAACCTATTAATAATTACTAAAGATACAGGACCATTCAGATATAGTGCTTGATTTGGGGGAAAGAAGGGAATTCAAAGCACTCAAGAGGCAGAGATGTTCCAGGATAAATATAACCCTATATGCTTATAACCAACAAAGATAAAAATACATATGGGGATGTGTATGAGGACGAAGATGATTATGCGGACAATAAAATCTAAACGTAGATGGTGATATGGATGAGGACGAAGGCAAAGACGAAGATAAAAATTGGAACCAAATAGAATAAATAGTTTTTAGATTATTTTATCACTGACTTTAAATAATACTTTAACATTTTACAATAATTAATTACCACTGGACATTATATTTTTATCCACGTTGCCAATTAGCAAATATGCTGTATTACTACTTAGCACTAGTCTACATGAATATTGGAACAGCTTTTCTTCTTCTATCTCCAATATAATATTTAGTAGAAATTGACAAGCTATATTCAGTACGTTCTTTTTTTGACTCATAGCTCTGATTAAAAATAATTTTAAAATTGGAACATTCAAATATCGATTAGCTAACATTGGTCTGTTTTTCAAGAATTAATCTAAATTAAGCATTAAATTTTAAGATATTAGTAATACGCATCGTACCTTGAGGACTACCGGAATGATGAGACGACGTGCCATTGTTTCTAATTATAGGTACGGGACTAGGTACTCTAATAGAGACAGGCGGCTCTAAGATGTCCCTATACTTCGACACCATCAGTACAGAAATGAAATATACGATGGCTAGTGACAGGAATTGAGCTTGTTTCGTTTCCTCCTAAAAAAAATATATATATTATTTATATAATTTTCTATCGGTTTCTTACGCAAGAAAGTATGTTGTTGTGATGACCGAATATGCTATCATTGCAGAGTACAGAAGTTATATGAGTATAAACATGTAAACTCTCTTTTTTATCTAATTTGTACAGTTATTTCCGAGTATGAATGAGTAAACTCTCACACCACTGCACGTTACAAAAATGTGGAAATGCATTAGGCAATAGCGGTCCCTTCGCATCGCCGGGTGTGATAGTCTCGATCGCTCGCATTCTTCCGAGATTCTTTGGAAAAGATAGAAGGAAAACGCGATGCGAGCGAGCACAGCTCGAGAACGCCAAGTGCAAATGCGCATTATAAAATATGAGAAAGAACTTCACCGTGCGCGCTAGAGATTAGCACAGAATGCGATGAGACAGGACCGTGATTGCCTAATGCGTTTCCACTTCAAATCTTCAGACTACCAAATTGATAAATAAATATTATAGGTAGTGATCTAAAAAGATTGCAATATTTATTAATCTCATAAATGCACGAAAAACTACTGGACTGTAGTTCAAATAGAAGCTCGATGATAAACAAATTTATATTTAGGTTTGATTTTTAAACCTCTTGATCAATATTATAGCTGTTATTTTGGGAGAAAACTAATAACATCGATATTTTTCATAATTTTCGATATTTTTACTTTCGACTTATTAATTTTTGATCTTCGTTTTTTTTTAATTATTATTATTTTCTTTAATTTTTTCAGATTTTTTCAGATTTTTTCAAATTTTTTCAAATTTTTTTATATTTTTTCAAATTTTCCCGATTTTCTGATTTCCCGATTTCCCGATTTCCCGATTTCCCGATTTCCCGATTTCCCGATTTCCCGATTTCCCGATTTCCCGATTTCCCGATTTCCCGATTTCCCGATTTCCCGATTTCCCGATTTCCCGATTTCCCGATTTCCCGATTTCCCGATTTCCCGATTTTCCGATTTTCCGATTTTCCGATTTTCCGATTTTCCGATTTTCCGATTTTCCGATTTTCCGATTTTCCGATTTTCCGATTTTCCGATTTTCCGATTTTCCGATTTTCCGATTTTCCGATTTTCCGATTTTCCGATTTTCCGATTTTCCGATTTTCCGATTTTCCGATTTTCCGATTTTCCGATTTTCCGATTTTCCGATTTTCCGATTTTCCGATTTTCCGATTTTCCGATTTTCCGATTTTCCGATTTTCCGATTTTCCGATTTTCCGATTTTCCGATTTTCCGATTTTCCGATTTTCCGATTTTCCGATTTTCCGATTTTCCGATTTTCCGATTTTCCGATTTTCTGATTTTCGATTTTCTGATTTTCTGATTTTCTGATTTTCTGATTTTCTGATTTTCTGATTTTCTGATTTTCTGATTTTCTGATTTTCTGATTTTCTGATTTTCTGATTTTCTCATTTTCTGATTTTCTCATTTTCTGATTTTCTGATTTTCTGATTTTCTGATTTTCTGATTTTCTGATTTTCTGATTTTCTGATTTTCTGATTTTCTGATTTTCTGATTTTCTGATTTTCTGATTTTCTGATTTTCTGATTTTCTGATTTTCTGATTTTCTGATTTTCTGATTTTCTGATTTTCTGATTTTCTGATTTTCTGATTTTCTGATTTTCTGATTTTCTGATTTTCTGATTTTCTGATTTTCTGATTTTCTGATTTTCTGATTTTCTGATTTTCTGATTTTCTGATTTTCTGATTTTCAGATTTTCTGATTTTCTGATTTTCTGATTTTCTGATTTTCTGATTTTCTGATTTTCTGATTTTCTGATTTTCTGATTTTCTGATTTTCTGATTTTCTGATTTTCTGATTTTCAGATTTTCTGATTTTCTGATTTTCTGATTTTCTGATTTTCTGATTTTCTGATTTTCTGATTTTCTGATTTTCTGATTTTCTGATTTTCAGATTTTCAGATTTTCAGATTTTCTGATTTTCAGATTTTCAGATTTTCAGATTTTCAGATTTTCAGATTTTCAGATTTTCAGATTTTCAGATTTTCAGATTTTCAGATTTTCAGATTTTCAGATTTTCAGATTTTCAGATTTTCAGATTTTCAGATTTTCAGATTTTCAGATTTTCAGATTTTCAGATTTTCTGATTTTCTGATTTTCTGATTTTCTGATTTTCTGATTTTCTGATTTTCTGATTTTCTGATTTTCTGATTTTCTGATTTTCTGATTTTCTGATTTTCTGATTTTCTGATTTTCTGATTTTCTGATTTTCTGATTTTCTGATTTTCTGATTTTCTGATTTTCTGATTTTCTGATTTTCTGATTTTCTGATTTTCTGATTTTCTGATTTTCTGATTTTCTGATTTTCTGATTTTCTGATTTTCTGATTTTCTGATTTTCTGATTTTCTGATTTTCTGATTTTCTGATTTTCTGATTTTCTGATTTTCTGATTTTCTGATTTTCTGATTTTCTGATTTTCTGATTTTCTGATTTTCTGATTTTCTGATTTTCTGATTTTCTGATTTTCTGATTTTCTGATTTTCTGATTTTCTGATTTTCTGATTTTCTGATTTTCTGATTTTCTGATTTTCTGATTTTCTGATTTTCTGATTTTCTGATTTTCTGATTTTCTGATTTTCTGATTTTCTGATTTTCTGATTTTCTGATTTTCTGATTTTCTGATTTTCTGATTTTCTGATTTTCTGATTTTCTGATTTTCTGATTTTCTGATTTTCTGATTTTCTGATTTTCTGATTTTCTGATTTTCTGATTTTCTGATTTTCTGATTTTCTGATTTTCTGATTTTCTGATTTTCTGATTTTCTGATTTTCTGATTTTCTGATTTTCTGATTTTCTGATTTTCTGATTTTCTGATTTTCTGATTTTCTGATTTTCTGATTTTCTGATTTTCTGATTTTCTGATTTTCTGATTTTCTGATTTTCTGATTTTCTGATTTTCTGATTTTCTGATTTTCTGATTTTCTGATTTTCTGATTTTCTGATTTTCTGATTTTCTGATTTTCTGATTTTCTGATTTTCTGATTTTCTGATTTTCTGATTTTCTGATTTTCTGATTTTCTGATTTTCTGATTTTCTGATTTTCTGATTTTCTGATTTTCTGATTTTCTGATTTTCTGATTTTCTGATTTTCTGATTTTCTGATTTTCTGATTTTCTGATTTTCTGATTTTCTGATTTTCTGATTTTCTGATTTTCTGATTTTCTGATTTTCTGATTTTCTGATTTTCTGATTTTCTGATTTTCTGATTTTCTGATTTTCTGATTTTCTGATTTTCTGATTTTCTGATTTTCTGATTTTCTGATTTTCTGATTTTCTGATTTTCTGATTTTCTGATTTTCTGATTTTCTGATTTTCTGATTTTCTGATTTTCTGATTTTCTGATTTTCTGATTTTCTGATTTTCTGATTTTCTGATTTTCTGATTTTCTGATTTTCTGATTTTCTGATTTTCTGATTTTCTGATTTTCTGATTTTCTGATTTTCTGATTTTCTGATTTTCTGATTTTCTGATTTTCTGATTTTCTGATTTTCTGATTTTCTGATTTTCTGATTTTCTGATTTTCTGATTTTCTGATTTTCTGATTTTCTGATTTTCTGATTTTCTGATTTTCTGATTTTCTGATTTTCTGATTTTCTGATTTTCTGATTTTCTGATTTTCTGATTTTCTGATTTTCTGATTTTCTGATTTTCTGATTTTCTGATTTTCTGATTTTCTGATTTTCTGATTTTCTGATTTTCTGATTTTCTGATTTTCTGATTTTCTGATTTTCTGATTTTCTGATTTTCTGATTTTCTGATTTTCTGATTTTCTGATTTTCTGATTTTCTGATTTTCTGATTTTCTGATTTTCTGATTTTCTGATTTTCTGATTTTCTGATTTTCTGATTTTCTGATTTTCTGATTTTCTGATTTTCTGATTTTCTGATTTTCTGATTTTCTGATTTTCTGATTTTCTGATTTTCTGATTTTCTGATTTTCTGATTTTCTGATTTTCTGATTTTCTGATTTTCTGATTTTCTGATTTTCTGATTTTCTGATTTTCTGATTTTCTGATTTTCTGATTTTCTGATTTTCTGATTTTCTGATTTTCTGATTTTCTGATTTTCTGATTTTCTGATTTTCTGATTTTCTGATTTTCTGATTTTCTGATTTTCTGATTTTCTGATTTTCTGATTTTCTGATTTTCTGATTTTCTGATTTTCTGATTTTCTGATTTTCTGATTTTCTGATTTTCTGATTTTCTGATTTTCTGATTTTCTGATTTTCTGATTTTCTGATTTTCTGATTTTCTGATTTTCTGATTTTCTGATTTTCTGATTTTCTGATTTTCTGATTTTCTGATTTTCTGATTTTCTGATTTTCTGATTTTCTGATTTTCTGATTTTCTGATTTTCTGATTTTCTGATTTTCTGATTTTCTGATTTTCTGATTTTCTGATTTTCTGATTTTCTGATTTTCTGATTTTCTGATTTTCTGATTTTCTGATTTTCTGATTTTCTGATTTTCTGATTTTCTGATTTTCTGATTTTCTGATTTTCTGATTTTCTGATTTTCTGATTTTCTGATTTTCTGATTTTCTGATTTTCTGATTTTCTGATTTTCTGATTTTCTGATTTTCTGATTTTCTGATTTTCTGATTTTCTGATTTTCTGATTTTCTGATTTTCTGATTTTCTGATTTTCTGATTTTCTGATTTTCTGATTTTCTGATTTTCTGATTTTCTGATTTTCTGATTTTCTGATTTTCTGATTTTCTGATTTTCTGATTTTCTGATTTTCTGATTTTCTGATTTTCTGATTTTCTGATTTTCTGATTTTCTGATTTTCTGATTTTCTGATTTTCTGATTTTCTGATTTTCTGATTTTCTGATTTTCTGATTTTCTGATTTTCTGATTTTCTGATTTTCTGATTTTCTGATTTTCTGATTTTCTGATTTTCTGATTTTCTGATTTTCTGATTTTCTGATTTTCTGATTTTCTGATTTTCTGATTTTCTGATTTTCTGATTTTCTGATTTTCTGATTTTCTGATTTTCTGATTTTCTGATTTTCTGATTTTTTAATCAGCAAAAACTCATCGATATTTTTAATTTTGGATTTTTTTAGATTTTAGAGCTTTAGATTATCGATATTTTGATTTTCGACAATACGTTCAAATAAAAATTTCATTGGTTACAAGGAAATAGAACAAATTTATATTTAGATTTGAGAACAGGTTTGAATTTTGATCTCTTAATCATCAGCTGTTGTTTTGGAAAACTGCATCAATATTTTTAATATTCGTTATTTTTATTTTCGATGTTATATTTTCGAGCTTCCGATTTTCGATATTTTTTTAGACAGTACGATATTTTTATTTTCGATAATTTAAATAGAATCTTGATTAGTTAACGAGAAAATAAAACAAATTTGTATTTAGATTCGAGCAACAGGTATGATTTCTAATATTTTTTAATAAAAAATGCAGCTGCTGTTTTGGGGGAAAACCTACCACATCTCTGTAGATAACGGCACGTAGTCGGTTTACGTCCATGTCCTGAAGGAGCTTCTCTGGATCCTTTACTGGACTTGAACTGCTAGACAAATTGTCCGTTACACTCTGAAAAAACACACATTTACACATTTTATATCATACACTGCAAAAAATATATTTATCATTACGAATGACCAAATAGAGCCAAATTAATTAGTTCGAAAAACATATGAAGTGGTGATTTATAGCGTACTTTCTACTTGAATGTAGTCATGTAGAACTATCAAAAAGGTCACAAAGTACTATTAAGAAATATATTAAATAAAAGCGAAGGTTTTATGACATCTTTCTTACCTTTGGAGAATTTTGAACGCCTCTTATGAACGATTGTAGATGTGCTGCTTTGTGGCTAGCGTTATGTGAATTAGGTGCAAGAGTGTGGTGCGGACGACTTCTTTCTTTGCACTCCAAACAGTTGCGAACAGCACATGTGCAAACCTAACACAGTCACACATTAACAAACAAGTCAACAATAACACACAAAAAATATGTATAGAAAAGTAAAAACTAATCAAAGTTACATAAATATAAAATAAATGGTTCGTCTAGAGCTATACTAATAAATGTTGGTCATTTATAGCAAATAAATGATTTTTTAAAGTGTTTTAGCTTCAGTTTTTCTAATATCTACGTGACGCAACTTTAATGGTATACCTATGTATAATTATATAAATATTAAAATTCGACATTTTATTGTTTGGATATTTTAATTTTTCCATATTTTTCTATTTTTAAAATTATTCTTTAAAATCATAATTTTCGATATTTTTCGGTATTTTTTATTTCAGATATTTTTCTATATTTTATATAATATTCAATATTTTTCATTATGTTCAATATTTTTATTTTCGACATGTAATCGATATTTATATTTTAGACATTTTGAAATTTTGATTATCCATATTTTGATTTTCGATTTTTGTCATTATACATTATAATCTATAAACGACAAGATCAATGTTAAATCAACAATTTGAAGAAAGCAAACAACAAAAACATGGTGATACTTTTTAAACTTATAGACAAAACTATTGCCACATAATAAATAATATACAGTATTAGTTTATTAATAAACACAACATACTGACCAGTCTCAAGCACTGCCTCAAAATTCCACCGCTCGACATATTTTTCTCGGCTTCTAGTTCACTGAAATTTAAGGAACTAGCGAATATTAGCACGTCTGCCATATTCACCAATCTTTGAAGGAAACTGACAGCAACTTCTATGGGCATGCCTTGAGTCGGTTCAATTACGTCAAGTTCACTCTGAAATGTTCGAATATTAATTTTTGCGTCCCACATAGAGAATATTTAATGAAGCTATTGGACTTACAAGAAGACGATTATTTTAAAATAGGGTACTTACGTTCGGTGAAGTAGCTGATGCAAGCAACGGTAGAAGACCGCCGCAAGCTATTATCAAATTATCGGCCAGCTGAGAAATTAAATGTACTGTATTGACGACGAAGATGGCGTTATCGCTGCTGTTGACGAAATCCAACACAGACTTCGTCGAATGACTTCTCCAAACTTGAATGTCCGTTTCTAAGGAAAATAGTACGTCGGATAACAGTCGCTGATGGATGTAGGACCATTTGAATTCTGGTATCCTAAATGGTGGTCTAGTCGGTCCCGGACTGAACATGGGTCGTTGTTGTCCAGCCTTATTACTTTTCGGTTCTGTATTTAATGGTGAAATAAAAAGAGAATATATTATTAAAATGTTTAATTAGATTTCTCAAACAAATCAACTAAAATATACTATATCAAACAAAACATACATATTTTTAACCAGACAAAATACTGAATGCGCCCCTGTGCAAGCGTGAGCTCTTGATAACAAATTATCATTTAAAATACAGTCACACCGGATGTAACCAATTAGGTACCAGAGGACAAGGAAACCTTTTCGACGCCTGAAATGGCAAAAGGAACCTGATAAGAAGAAAAAAAAAGAAGAAGGTCGTTCTATTTAGTTTGATATAGCAATTAGTTTCATTTTTTGAAAGTAACTTAAGTTACCTAAGAAAAGTTACTTTATAACGTAACTTATTTTATCATAAAATAAGAAAAAATGTAGCCCTTTTTTATCTTTAAAAATAATATTTACTCTACAACTGTCTTTGTCTCTTAAATACAAAATTAATGTGCAAAAAAGGCGTGTTAAAGAGATAATGTCGAAAATACTGCAATTTTTATCATCAAAGTATTTAGAGATCAAAATTCACAATATTTTAAAATTTTTTTCTATTTTCTTTTTTGTAATTCATTTTTTTGTATACTTTTTAATTTTTTATTATTTTTGTTTTTTACCGTATTATTTAATTTTTGTTTTTTTTTTTCGTTTTTTTTTTTGTTAAATACCGTTTATTTATTTTTTGTTTTGTATTTTTCTTGTTTTTTTGGTTACGGTTGTAACGAGCATTTTATACTCGTTAGGATTTTATTTTTTCGTATATTTATATTTATTATTCAAACAGAAAAGATAATAAATATCGTTATGGTTATTGTAATTCTTATTTCGTATTTTTGTATTTAATATTTAAAAGGAACTTTTCGAGTACTCCCTGTATTCCAATTCGAAGGCAATCGAATGTTCTTTACGCGAATGACGCTAGAGGAAGGGATACGAGAGGTATAAAAGGCCATGTATCGAAAAAGCCGGTAGGACGTCGCATCAGCAAGGAACTGAAACTGCATGCTGACAGAAGCTGGGAAGATTTTCTCGGAGAGCTTGACCCCCAGAATCCTGGATTATGGAAACTACAGAGAATACTAAGAGATGACAGAAAACCAGTACCAACTCTGCATGGAGCAAATGGTCTGGTAAACATAACTGAGGAGAAAGCCGAAGCCTTCGCCACTTCCCTGTTTTATTAACAACGAACACGAAGATGAAGATCTTGACTTCACGGAAGAAGTGGAAGAGGACTTCGAGAATGAACCCGAAATAGGATACCTTGAGCCCTCATCTCCGGACGAGGTGAGAGGCATCATCAAGCACCTATCTGCCAAGAAAGCCACCGGCAGGGACAAAATCTCCATCCGAGCGATTAAACACTTCCCGCTGAAAGCTACAGTCTACCTTACAGCTATCATTAACGGGATTTTAAGAACTCAGTACTTCCCTAGACTGTGGAAACAAGCCGAAGTGATTACGATACGGAAACCCAACAAGAACCCCAAATTTCCACAAAATTACAGGCCCATTAGCCTGCTCCCAGCAATCAGTAAGATTGCGGAAAGAGGCATCCTTAGAAGGCTAAGAGAACAAACAAGGGATCTGAACATCATCCCCGACGAGCAATTCGGATTCAAAGAGGAACACTCAACCGAACTGCAAGTCCTAAGACTCTTCGAAGGAATCACTAGAGGATTCAACAGAAATCAGTCTACAGGCACCATATTCTTAGATGTCGCCAAGGAATTCGACAGAGTATGGCACGCTGCCGGGCTGATTTTCAAAATGAAAGAACAAGGGTTCACAGCAGGAATGACAGGGCTGCTCAGGTCGTACCTCGGCGGAAGGCAGTTCCGGATCAAGATGGAACACGTCCTATCAAGACCTGGAATCCCAGAAGCAGGAGTACCTCAAGGAGTGGTACTGTCACCACTGCTGTACACCATATATACCGCAGACATCCCGAAAACCCAAAATACTACCATGTCCCTCTACGCGAACGACACAGCGATATCAGCCACGACTCATATCAAGATATCTACAAGACGCAGCGGAATACATAAAAGAATGGTGCATTAGATGGAAGATAAAGATCAACGCAGAGAAGACACAGGCTGTTCAAGAAGAGACATCACCCCCCCCCCCCCCCCAGGAGAAGAAGTAACGATGAATGGACAGGACATCCCATAGACCGATTCAGCCAGGTACCTAGGAGTAATCATGGACAAAGGACTCACCTTCACAAAACACGTGGACATGGTAGTCAAGAAAACAAAGCAAGCAAGATCAAGACTAAACTGCCTAATAGGACGTAAAAGCAAATTATTAGTACAGACAAAAATGAGGCTCTTACAGGCTGTCATTATACCTATCCTCATGTACGCATCGACGGCATGGGGATACATCTGTAGAACAAACAGAAAGAAGATTCAAAGCCAGCAGAACATCAGCTTAAGATGGGCCTCAAACGCATACTGATACACTAGAAACGACGTTATCAGGAGGGATCTAGAATCCAAAAGGGTCCTAGACCTCATACACAAGAAGGCCACAGACACCTTCGAAAAACTAAGAACTCTCCCGAATATAGAGATTAGAGAACTCACAGAATATGAAAGAGCGGATTATAGAAGACACGCCAGACCACGCAAGGTGCTGGACTATGGCGGCGAGTGACCGACCCTTGGGTGTAAAATTCAAGTCTCATAGATTTAAGATTTTCTTCCAGCATTCTCTTTCAGAATACCGGACAGAGCGCATCACGCGATTCAGACAAGGACTGAGCAACTGACGACTAACCACCTGGGGGAGAAGGTCCCTTCAGTCGCCAAGTAGGAGACTGGGGGAGCTTTCACAGGTGGCGACTTTCACAGAACGGCACACACACTAACAAACGGACGACGAAACAGGGAAATGCCCTTAGCAAACCCTGTCTAAATGCTGATAATATGTCATCCTTCACAGCCTTTTTAGAACTTGGGCTCAATTACTGTGTGTGAAGCCGGTAGCTTTTGTTTTGTAAATTCATCCCACCTCTTTATTTCTTTCTTTTTTTATCCCCGGAGAGTTTAGTTTTAATTGAAGTAAGGTTATCAAGTGAAGGGTTTAATGTTTAGCTATAGGTAAGATAAAGCGTTTTCTTTATTTAATCTTTAAGGTGAATTGTTAGGTAAATGCTGCGTTAGCGCGTTGTCTATCGACTAAGGGTATTTGTTGCAGGGATTTTTTAGTGATTAACGGATGTATATTCCACTAATTTAGGTCTATCTCGTTAGTTAGGGGTAGATTTTAGTATTTGAGTTAAACAAAGAAGTTTTCTACTATTTAGAGGTTTTTTTTTCGAGAAAAAGCCATTTTGCGTTTTAACTCAAGAAAGGGATTTTGACATTTATTGCGTCATTATTGGACATGGCTCATTTTAAGTTTAATACCTGCAACGGATTTTAACCTTTATCGTCTCGTTATTTAAGATTATTTTTCCGGTGAGCAGGGATTTATCGATTTGTGTCAATTTGTCGATGGCTTAATTGCAGTGATTTGATTTGTAATTTTATGATAATTTGTTCATTGTTTTTTTCTCTATCGTGTAACAAATCGATGAAACGCTAATTACTGGATTTATAGTAATTTTTTGATTAATTTATTCTTTCTAGTGCGGTATTTAGGTAGCAATTTGTTTTTTGGAGGAAATTTTGAGAATTTGCTACTTTACTTATCGCCCCTGAAGTATTAAACCTAATTAACTGATAATACAGCGGAGATAAAGCGGCTTCCGGGCAGCTTGTATACAAAGGTTGCTTCTATCTTTCTTCTCTCATCTTTTCTCTTCACTTTCTCAGTACTTTTTTATTAATTAATTTAGGCATAGTTCCTGATTATGGAAGCTACCCAACTAAATGCCGGTTAATTAATAAAAAAAGAACCCTACTTCCTAGTCTATCTCTACTATCCTATTTCCTTTTAAGTTTTTTCATTATTTTATTATTTGGGTTTTTTTTTATATATAATTCACAGGGTTATATGGCGTATGGGATTTAAGTTAATATAATTTAAATTTTTGGCAACCGTAGGTTGTTATTTTCTTTTTGCAATCATTGTTTAATGATTTTGAATGACAAATTAAATCTCATACATTTATGAGTTGGGGTATTTTTCAAGTCATCCATGTTGAATGGATTCACAGCCACTTAAATTTAATTGATTCCTTTTCAAATTTATTTGTGATACCACTTCATGGTTTGATAATTAAAGCGTAATTTACCTTAAGTAAAGTGGGTTTATTTTTGCTAATGAATAGTAGCTATTTCCAAATAATTTTTTAATTTTGGTATGAATCCTACCAACTAAGCTTAACTTTAGCATCAGCGCTATCAAACTTGTAACTTTTAGTTAATTTTCTTAGTAAAAGTTAACCTTCTGTTAACTTATTTGGTTTTAATATTGCTTTTTCCACAAAGGTGAATGTAATTATTGCAGAGTAAAAGGTCTTATTCCTAGTCAGGGGTATATTTTTGGGGAACAATAGCATTCCTTCTTTATTATCAGTCTTTTGGGCAATTTACGTAACCTCAGGGGTAGTAAAAGACGTGTTTTAACCACCATTTTTCTGTGTTGCCAATATAAGTAGCTCACACAGATATGTTTCATTTTCATGTACTGGAGTATTACCGATGACAATTTAAGCGAACAGACCAGAAAAAGTTTTAAACGTAGTCGATCCAAGTGGAGATCTAGTTCCTCAGCCTCAGAACGTCGGTGAATCTGCAACGTAGAGCATCGAGAGACCTTATAGTGACAACGCTCCTTCCTGTATAGAAACCGAACTGAATACCACCTCGTTTGAACTCCTGAACAGGCTAGATCACCTCCAGAACCAGCAGGACCATCCCTCAGCTTAGCCATCCGGTAACTTAAATCGAAACCGAGCCGAGCTTACTTGTATTTAGAATACAGGTTACTTAAATTGCATATATAATTTTTACTTACCACAATTTATTTGTTTACTACATTTTCATACTTAATTTTATATATTTGAAACCTTCAGTTCAAATCGTCATTTAAGAATTGATTTTATATTTTAGGAACCTTCAGTTCAAGTTTAAATATTTTTTCTGCCAGAACCCTCAGTTATGCCGTTTGTCAATTGTTTAAAATAAACCCTAAATTGAATTTATCTGTTTTAATTTACCTGATACTCGTTTGAATTTCAACTTATCGTACCGTATCTTGAAATTGGTCACAGTATAGTTTTATTTCCTATTTTGTTTTTTCTGAAAAAGTATATTTTTAAGGAGGTCCTTTCGCCACCAATGTTAAATAAAAAATATTAGATTATGACTAAAATTAATTTTTTTCTAATAGTAGATGTCCTTATTTATCTAATAGTGAACTTTTAACTATACCTTACCGTGCAAATTTTTGAGAATTTTTTTTTTTTAAATGTGTGTGTTTGTACAGTGTCTTATGAGAAAGTAAGACTTCAACAACAATTTTCGAATTATAATTAATTTTACTATCATTTATTGATTAGATGGAGTAGAAAAAAAACTAAAAATAAGGTTTTTGAAATATTTAGGTTTTGTTTTTTACAATAAAATATATAGGTTACCGTGGAATTTATTAAGAAATTATTATTAAAAAATCACAAAAAATTTTCAACTAGGTTACTTGAAAATTTTTTGTGATTTTTTAATATTAATTTCTCCAATAACTTCCACGGTTTACTATATATATTTTATTATATAAAACAAAATCTATATATTTCAAAAACCTTATTTTTAGTTTTTTTCTACTCCATCTAATCAATAAATAATAGTATAATTCGAGAATTGTTGTTGACGACTTACTTTCTCGTGAGGCACTGTACAAATACTCACATTAAAAAAAAATTCTCAAAAATTTGCAAGGTAAGTTAAAAGTTGCATAGTTAAAAGTTCAGTATTAGATAAATAAGGACTTCAACTATTAGAAAAAAATTAATTTTAGTCATAATCTAATAACTTTTTTTAACATTGGAGGCGAGAGGTGTGGCGAAAGGACCTCCTTAAATATAGTCAAAACAGGTGGCGCCTTGTTCAAATTCAGATACATCATAAAAGTTCCAAAATAAACAACTGAGAATTCACCCCTGAGTTATAATAAATTTTACCATTTTCCTGTACGGAAAATTGTAAAATCCTAATAAATAAATTGAGCTTTAATCACTATAAATTTGTCTTCCAAATCAGACAATTCCAGGTAAAGGCTTGTATTGGCAATCAATGGGCCTTAATATCTTTTATCAAAAAGTAACAAAACTGCTGCATGGTTTTATTATATTTTTTGCTTGATTTTTATTTATTTTTTATTTTATTTTCGTTTTATATATTTTTAATATTATTATATCAGGCGTCTAATATCAAATGTAGCAAAGTCCACTTTTATAACTTTTTCACTACACAACAAAAACGATTTAAAAAATATTAGGACGTTACATAAAATTACTGTTTTGGCTTTTAAGTGTGTAAATAAATTAGTTTATGTAAATTGCAGTCAAAATCGCCGTAGGATTTTTAATAATATTTTAAATTGGCTATATATATTGGAGTTTTCTGTATTTGATATTTAAGGTTTGGAGTTTGCTATATGATTTGTTCATGAAAGGAGATTGCTGTTTATGATAGTAAACTAGGGTGAGAAAATATCCAGGACTGTATTGAATACAAACACACTTCTGCTCACTAATTATTACTGTGATTAACAGAAACCAAAAACATATGTTTTTCATATATTGTCAATAAAAATGTGTCCGTGGGCGCCGACCAAAAAATTGCTGGGAGACAAGTCTTATAGGTAAGTTCATATTGCCGTAGGCTATAGACGAAAGCCATAGCGAAAAATCCAAAATCGGAAATCTACTGCACTTGCCCTCGTGTGAAGACGCGCCTATGAATGTGTCCCTTAAAGTTGCCCACAAATGAGAAACTGTTTTATTTTAGTTTATTAGTGCAAGGAAGAAACTAAAATAACAACGTTGCCAGTAAACGGCCGCCTGGCTGCGTGGGGATAGCTCTCGAGTATGCATCGTTGACCGTCTGTGTTAATTGCGCTATCTGTCTGTGCTATGTGCTGTGTGATGTGAATTAAGAATAGGCACACAACGACAGATATACCCACAATCCCAACGCAGCCAGGCCGTTGGGAACATTGATATTATTCGTTTTCTTCTCAACCTAATGCGAAGTCCCCGTAGTTTTCACTTCGACACTAGCAAACCCTATTAGAGGGTTTTCAATAGCCGATACTGTGTATGAATAAATAAATATATATTCAGAGTTGTGCCGGAATAAAATTATTCACTGTTCAACCAGTAACTTAAAAAAAAAACGCTGGAACACGTGACTTGATTTTACATTGGACGTATTTGTTGCCAATAAAATTAAATTTTTTTCTTCGGCTCCTTAGATTCAACCCTACCTAACTTTTTTTTTCAAATTCAAAGGTATGTTGTGTGTAGGTCATTGAAAAGCTCGTGAAAAATGGAATCTCACCATACCTTTTTTCTTTTAGATATGTGGTTATTGGGAAATGAGAAAAAATTCTTTTAAAAACAAAAAAGTTACAAATAGGTTATAGTGAAATTCTATTTTCCCCTACAAACGACATATCTTTGCATTTGAATGTACTTAATGTAGGAATTTATGTGTTTCTTATTGTCAATATAGATTTAATAATTGCGGTCCTGGAAAAAATGTTGCTTATCTCAATCATTTCGCCTTATTTGTTTTCCAATTTTTGGCATTTCTAACACACTTTCTTGTATGTTTTTTTATCTCCAGCAGGACAAGAGACCTCCATTTTATAAATTTTCACTAAACAATTCTTATTATTTTATTATTATATACTAAAAAACAGTAATTAACTATGCACGTGTTGTTACAAACCGACTACAGCTACCATACTGGTTTAACTACTTGCTATTGGCTGAAATTGATTTTGCTACTTTTGTTATGTTAAATCTGGAGATTGCTGTTTTTGATACAAACTTACAACTTTGCTGAATGGTTTTAACAGCTTATTTCAGCTTTTGTTACAAAATAAGATCTGATATTTTAATAAATAAACATTCTAAACCGGTACGACACAAAAAGCTTCAATCGGAAAATTTGTAGTTTGCTGCTTTTGATAATAGACCCCTGATATATTATTTATATTTTTTTATAACATGTTGTTTTATTGTTTTCGTGTAGTTTTTATTTTTTATTTTATCTCTTGATTAATTTTTTTTTCGCTTTACATGCTATATTTTCTACCATTTTTGTTTTGTTTTATTACTGTATCATTTTTTTTTCTATGTATTTTGTTTTATTTGTCTGCCTCAGCATAACCATCTTGTCAAGGCTATCTTGCGCTTCCCCTGTGATCCATATGGCTTTGGTGAGCTTTTATATTATTTTAGGTCGGAATATAGGCAGGTTTATAAATTATAAAAAGGTCTATACACGGATAATACCAAGTCAAAAAAAAAGGACTCACCAAATAGTTGTGGATCAACTTGGGTGGATGTAGACGCACTTCTGGGTCGCTTCTGCGGGGAGGCAGCGCCGGAGGCGCGATTGAAATCGCCGTTTTGCGTTTCGGTGTGGCACGTGGGCAAACTCACTCTTCTCTTGATTCCGTCCACTACCGTTTGTGGACTTTCCGTTTGATTGTTAGATGATTTCTCTTCGACATTAACAACTACATCGGTAGTAACAGCAGTATTAGTAGTATTATGACTAGGATCACAGTATTGTGAAATCGTTGATATATTTTCAACCTGAGGCACTTCAGTTTCAGCGCCATCTGCTAATTTAGAATCATTATCACTAGATTGAACGGTGGCTTCTCCTAGACTAGATTCATTTTTGGACGGCTCTAATTCTACGGACACAGCACTATTTTCAACAATTGGCACAGCTTCAGAATTATTTTTTATGAGTTCATTATCACTATTACTTTCGTTAACAATAACGTCATTGGAGGAACTGTTCGTTTTAACGTCATCTTCACTTTCTTTTTTATCACTTTTAACTGTTCTAAATTCTTCTTCATCATCACACTTATCTTCAGTCTTCTCTGTGGTTTCGGTTTCATCTAAAATTTCTTTTTTCTCTACTATTTCGTCGGTAGGAGTGAGATACCTTAAATTAAACACAATTAGAATAAGTATATTGCATAATACAAGTCGCTATTTTGTACCGTGTTATATAAAATATTTCCTAATTTTGACATACAAAGTGAAATTTCTTTGTAAACGCAGTAAGCGGCAAAATGATCTACTTTATCTAACCAGTTACATAAAGTCAAACGTTATCTAACTAGTTACAAATAATTCATAACATCATCAATTTGCGAAAAGAAAATAAAATCTTTTTTTTCTTTTAAAATCAAAATTTACCAACAATTTTCCAATTCCATTTTTTTAAATATTTGATTGGAAATACAAAAAATTAAAGGTTAGTCAATATTATAAATAATTTTATTCAACAAGAAAAAATGCTGTTTATCTAAGGTCGTTGTATGGATGATAACGCATGGGGACGTAATCCAGCCAGAGGTAGATGTCGACCCATGGGCATTCTTATCCATCATACCTACAAGATTATTTTATTTTTGTTATCAACTTTATTATGTTGACTTTAATTTAAAACGGTACTCTTTTATAGGAAAACCATCCAAATTAGTAGTTTTTTTAATTAATTTTGAAAAATCGAAAAATTGACTAATTTTGGTCCAACACACCTTTACAAAAATTAGAATATCTTAAGGACCACTTACCGTAGATCGATGAGATATAGCTCATTGTAAAGGTAATTCAAATACCTTTGTAATAATATATCACATGACTTATTTTATTTTCATCTGTTTTTTAAATTAAAAAAAAAATTAATTTTTTTCAAGTCATTTTTGATTTATTTGAGAATTTTTTTTTATCAATGCTTTGACAAAATATGTGCCAAATTTCAAGGTGAAGAAATTATGGGTTCACGGCCAAAAAAATAAAAACCAAATAAAAGTAACAAACAATCCAAAGAAAAATGTTCCAAATTCGTATTATCATATGTATGCGGTGTAGGAAAAACTTCTATTTTAAATATTAACTCTATATAGGTAAATTAAAGCTAAATTTAAAATAAAAATACCCTTCTTTTTTTCATCTCCTCCTTCCCTGCATATGTGCCGGAAAAAGTGGCACACATTCAGTGTGCGTTTGCATCATTCGTCAAAATATTAAATTGATGATGAGTGGTTCCAAAATTGATAAATTGACATTAAGAAAGCGATGTTTCCAGACTACCACGCATGTTTGGCAAAAATAATGTGCAATCCAGCAAGCGTTACATACAAGAAGTGGGTTTCTGTGGATCGCTATAACATGGAGACGATTATTAAACCCACTGAAGATTTTCTTGAGGAATTTGTGCAAGATTTAAGGTTTATTTTCACTATGCAAAAAGATTTTTTCAATCAGACTAAAACAAATTTAATAATGGGAGAAGCACTTATCACTTGTGATTATGCCAAAAATTATTCTTTTGTCTTACAGGATGAGGTCTAATCATACCACTGGACTATCAGTCAGGCAACACTTTATCCATTTGTAATATGTTACAAAGATGAAAAGGATGAAATGAAGCATTTGAATTATATTTACATTTCAGATTGCTTAAACCATAACACAACAGCTGTTCATTTGTTTTTAAAGGATTTAATACCTGAGCTTAAAAATAAAATCATGAATCTTACAAAAATTTCCTATTTTTCTGATGGATGCGCAGCTTCATATAAAAATAAAAAAAAAAAATACTAATGTGTGTTATCATGAGGAAGAATTTGGAGAAAAGGTTGAATGGCACTTTTTTGCTACGTCCCACGCAAGAGTGCTTGCGACGGGCTCGGTGGGACAGGAAAACGGATGGCTACCTGGGCTAGTTTGCAAAGACCTTATGAAGAACAAATCGTGACTAATAGTGCTAATGAACATGATTGTGAGATAGTAAAGCAACTAAAAGTAAAATTTGCTGAAATTTCCAAAAGAAGAAATATGCTGGTGTTGTCAGTTTTGCCAATTAGTTGGACCAGAGCACAAATTCAGAAAGAGTTTGGTGTGTCTCAATACATGACAACGGCAAAAAAAATGGTTAAAGAAAAGGGCATTTTTCCCACGCCCAATCCGAAACCAGGAAAAACCATTTCAAATGATATTGTTACACTAGTTAGAGAATTTTATTTAAGAGGCAGAATGATGCCAGGAAAAAAGGACTGTGAAGTAATTAAAAAAGAAGACCGCAAAGAATTTGTGCAAACAATTGCTTTCGGCCAACTTAAAAGAAGTTTATGCTTTGTTTAAAAAGGAGTCCCCGGAAATAAAAATTGGCTTCACGAAATTTTATGAACTTAAACCAAAAAACTGCATCTTTGCCGGAAAAAGTAGCACACAAACAGTATGCGTTTGCCTCATCCATGAAAATATTAAATTGGTGATGAGTGATTCCAAAATTGATAGATTCACCATTGATGACACTAAGAAAGCGATGTTTCCAGACTACCATGCATGTTTGGCAAAAATAATATGCAATCCAGCAAGCGTAGATTGTTACCTCGGTAAATGTGAAACTTGTCCTGGAACAGAAATTCTAAAAGAAATGTTAATGGAAAAGTTTGATGATTTTTTTATTGATAATGTTACATACAAGATCGCTGTAACATGGAGAAGATTATTAAACCTACTGAAGATTTTCTTGAGGAATTTGTGCTAGATTTAGTTAAAATAAAAACACACTCGTTTATTTCCACTATAGAAAAAGATTTTTTCAATCAGAATAAAACAAATTTAATAATGGGAGAAGCACTTATCACTTGTGATTATGCCGAAAATTATTCTTTTGTCTTACAGGATGAGATCTAATCATACCACTGGACTATCAGTCAGGCAACACTTTATCCATTTGTAATATGTTACAAAGATGAAAAATTTGAAATGAAGCATTTGAATTATGTTTACATTTCAGATTGCTTAAACCATAACACAACAGCTGTTCATTTGTTTCTAAAGGATTTAATACCTGAGCTTAAAAATAAAATCATAAATCTTACAAAAAAAAAAAATTATTTTTCTGATGGGTGCGCAGCTTCATAGAAAAATAAAAAAAAAATACTAATCTGTGTTATCATGAGGAAGAATTTGGAGAAAAGGTTGAATGGCACTTTTTTGCTACGTCCCACGCAAGAGTGCTTGCGACGGGCTCGGTGGGACAGGAAAACGGTTGGCTACCAAGGCTAGTTTGCAAAGACCTTATGAAGAACAAATCGTGACTCTAGACCCAGACAACACACCAAATCCCAGAGATATCCACAGAATATCTTTTGTGGATATCCAATGTATCCACTGGATATCAGAAATATTCCGTGGATCTAATATGGATACCCAAATGTCCGTCTATATCCAGAATATAGAAGATATCCTATGGATTATCCAGCAAAATATCTAATGGTATCTTCCAGACAATACGAGAAATCCCAGAGATATCCACAGAATATATTTAGCAAAATATTTTATTGGTATCTTTAGTAGAGGTTCATAAAAGTAACCAATGTTTATTGAATAACGTCAAAAGAAAATAGCAGAGAAAAAATATTTTCAACACTCAAAATATTTTCAACACTCTGCCTCTGCCCTCTAAGAAGAACATCATCCTTATTAGGACTCTTCAGCAATAAATGGAAATTCTCGACTCCAGTCTCTAATGGAGTCTGATTGGGAAACAAATTTCGATCGAACTCAATTAAATTACGGCGGGTTAAGCATAAGTAGATGCGAAAGTGGTATCGCCATCTATACTTAGTAAGCAAAATTAAAAATTACATCTAGGGGATATCCACGATGGTTTGCGTTCGCGCCTAGACTTTGATTATTTAGTGGATGTCCATGGGATATTGAATACACCTTAAAAAAATTAATTTTAAATATCTGAACGGTACTATTAGCCACAATGGCGAGCACAATGGCGTATTTTTTAAATAATTTGCTATATAATTACTATTATTTATGGACATTTGCATGTTTATAAATTACATCTCATGGATATAAAATAGATATCCACCATGGACTGGACATTCAGTGGATATTGGGATGTTCAGTAGATATCCAAAGGATTTGGTGTACTGTCTGGGGAGGAACTATTTGAGTTTGCAAAAGAAAACATTCAGGAAATCATAAGTTTATCACGACTGCTGATTATGAAAAGCATTCAAAATATTTGGAAAAAAAGGTTTGATGATACACAGACGATTCCAGGAACTCAAAAAATCTATTCTGTCGTTCCAGTGTCAAAGTCAAAAATTGTCACAAAAGGTTTCTCATTGAACTCAGAAGAACAAACACGTGAACTAATACAGTGTTCTGAAATAACAAATTCAGAGCTTATGCATATCCAATCTGGTTTTGTTACTGTTGAATATAACAAATTATCATAGGCGCAAGCACCCAGAGCAGTTTTAAACAGGGTGCGGAGCACCCATAGCACAACGAGGATAAAAGTGTCAATAAGTGAAATGAAGAAGCTGTCGTGGCCCAAGTTGGTATAGCGACATATGCCTCAATAAAATATTGTTAGAGTTAGAAACAGCTCTCTAGTATTGCTGGCGAGAAACCAGGTCATTTACTAAAAAACGCTTAGACCCGTCAATTTTGTTTTTTAGGGAGAAACATTATTTTGGCAGTTTCGCCCCCTGAGCGGAAACCCTCTATCGGGGACGAGACTCACCAGTTATATCTTAAATGGAAAGATTGGTCGAATGATATATTATATTGAAGGTATTTTTCCTAGATAATAACTCTCAAGTTTTACATCGCTACTATGTAGCCTAGACTGGGCCAAAAAAATTGACTATTTTTTTTTTTTTTTGAAAAATATATCGAGAATGTCATTCAGAATGACAAAAAAAATTTCGTGAAAATTTAAGCCCTTAATATTAATTTTAAGAGGTCTATCGTCGCTAATTTTGATTTTTAGTCATGATTTGACGTTTTACGTTAGAACTGTCAAAAAATTAGAATGCAAAAATTCTTTATCACTTATTTTGATACAAAATTAAATTCTCTACAAAAAAGGTCTGATTGAAAATGTTTGTCAGACGAGCCGTTTCCGAGTAATTGAGCTTAATAAATCGATGTATTTTTTCGATTTGCCCTTTTTATTTTGAAATTGTGTAACTAATGAACCAATGAATATTTAAAAAAGCTCATGTCGGATTCTTCAAGGGAATTTCATGTTCTACAAAAAAGGTCTCTTAACATTTTTGCCTAAATGCAATTTTTCAAAAGTTATTCACGATTGAAATCGAAGAAAAAATTGAAATTTTAAATTTTCCGTTCTTAACTCAATTTTTTTCACTTAACGGAAGAAATTCACTTTTTCGATCATTATTAAACATTATTCGTCAAACAAATCTCTCAATGTCTATCATTATTTCAACCAAATTATTACGAAAATATATCAATTTCACAATAAATATCAATTATTTTTCAACAAAAGCGTAGTTTTCTTATCTTTAAGTAATTTTTGGGTAAACAATTATTTAGTTTCATTATTGAAAATGATTTTTTGTAGAACATGAAATTCCCTTGAAGAATCCGACATAAGCTTTTTTAAATATTCATTGGTTCATTAGTTACAGAATTTCAAAATAAAAAGGGCAAATCGAAAAAATACATCGATTTATTAAGCTCAATTACTCGGAAACGGCTCGTCTGACAAACATTTTCAATCAGACCTTTTTTGTAGAGAATTTAATTTTGTATCAAAATAAGTGATAAAGAATTTTTGCATTCTAATTTTTTGACAGTTCTAACGTAAAACATCAAATTATGACTAAAAATCAAAAATAGCGACGATAGACCTCTTAAAATTAATATTAAGGGCTTAAATTTTCACGAATTTTTTTTTTGTCATTCTGAATGACATTCTCGATATATTAAAAAAAAAAAAAAAAATAGTCAATTTTTTTGGCCCAGTCTAATGTAGCCCATACAGTGGCGCACCAAAAGTACAAAAATGGTTTAACATAATTTTTACATTGTTATTAAAAAAAAGGAATTCTTTGTAAAAATTCTACTTTTATTAGTGTGGCTTTCAATCATTGTTATCAGATGACATTCTTTGGTCGCCGTAAAGTAGTAAGGTTTAGTTGTAAAGTTGGCATAGCAGTGATAATGGTTTATTGCTGAGAGAGTGCAAATAATTTTACTTTTTTTGCTGCGAACAATGAATGTGCTAATAGAACTGCCTAACTGTTTAACAATCAACATCAAAATCGAAACTACATTTTGAAGTTAGTCCAAACATTTTGGAAAACGGGGCCAGTAGCTAACAAATAACGTGAAATGGAAAATTCTGTAGTAAATGAAGCTACAGAGGTGGCGATTTTAGGACATGTTGTTTAAGAACCCATATTGAGTACAATACAGTTGGCGATAACATTTGGTATTAAGAGACATAGCATTCAGAAGATATTGAAAAAATACATCCGGTAAAAGAACTTAACGAAGACGATTTTGATAGGCGAATACAATTTTGTGAAATTATGTCTGAATGGGCATTAAATGATCAGCAATTTCTTTTCAACGAGTGTTATTCAGACAATGCACTTTTTTCCTAAATGGTACAGTAAATCGTCACAAGTGGCGTTATTGGTTAGATTCAAATCCCAGAATATTTCATGAAGTGCATACGCAACATATATAAAAACTGAATGTTTGAATTGGCATTTTTTAGTAACCGTATAATGGAATCCCTTTTTTATCAGAAACTTTAACCGTAGAAATGTATCCGAAATTATAAGAAAATGCTATTTATCCAGCTTTACTAGAGTTGATTTGAGAATGTCGATCAGTACATAGTAAACTATTTAATATTCCAGCATGACGGTGCGCCACTGTTCGTCAGTATTTGGATCAAACGTTTCCAGTTTCCAGGATCGGAAGAAGAGGAATTATTGAGTGGTCCCCACAGTCTCCGGATCTAAGCCCGTTGAATTTTTTTATGGGGTCACTTAAAAATTAAAATGTATGTCACCCAGCCAACATCACTGGAAAATCTGTGACAACGGATAATTGATGAATGTCATCAAATGATGACTCAAAATATCCGAGAGCATTTTGAACAAAACCTCTATTATTGCATGGAAGCCCAGGGTCAGCATTTCTAGCATTTACTTGAGTAACTGGTAAGCTTTTACAGAAAATAAAAATCGTTAAAAGATCATGGCCAGGAAGACAGTAGCGATTTAAAACTCGGGGGGTTATAATCTATGTAAAAAACCTTTAAAATACCAGTGGAGGCTGCACCGACCCTATAGGGTTGCCAGATATCCCGATTTAAACGGGAGCCTCCAGCCTATCCAGCAATTGGACAGTTGACAATACCTTTTTTTAAGAAAATTTTTATAAAATCATTTTTAAAATAGCTGTTTAAAAAAACCGGCGATGCCTTTAAGTGAGATGTGGAGGTTGGGGGAGGGGGGGGGTTGGGGGAGGATAGCCCTCATTTTTCGCATAGAAGCCGGGCACCCTAAGCAATTTTTGAATTCCGGCGCCTATGCAAATTATGGTGGTTGGCATGTATTACTGGAAACTGATGAACTCAAAATAAGTTTTTTGCATCCAAATGGGCCAACTAGTTTATTTTCCTACCCAAAGCAGATCTACTGATAATAAAGAAAGATACTATAAGAAAAGTTCAGCCTCGTACTGCTTCTGGCCGGACATATACTTTAACTAGGAAAGAAATGATTAAATCTTCAAACATTTTGGAAAGAAAAATTAAAACCAAATACTATTTGTAAATATTTTTTCATAATAATATAAGTACATTTCTTGTAAAATTTAGTTACTCTAAAGAAAACTAGAAAAATAAGGACAAAAATGTTTATAATTTTCACTTTTTAATTAGATTTTCAAATGTTTTCTTGTTTTTATTTTTTTTATAGTGGACCCATAATTTCTTCATTTTTGGCACATATTTTGCCAAAGCACTGATAAAAAAATATTTTTTTTTAAATCAAAAATGACTTGAAACAAATCAAAAAAGGTTTTTTTAAAAATTTAAATCAGTGTACCAGCGGTACACTGGATTTTAGAGATGGACATTAGAAAATTTGTAACTGTTAGGTACATACATTTACGGATTTATTACTACCCATTTCTAAATTTACACTTTATAACCAAACTTCGATTTTCGTTCAAGGACGACTGACCCGAGTCAGACTTAGTTGAGTTCTGTTTATAATAACGGACCATGTCAAGAATCTACAAAGCAGGTGATCTAAGGATCTTTCGTTCGTCCCACTGGTGTAGGAATTAACTACACCAACGCACACTATACCTTTCGTTTGGCCCGGTGTAAAATCCACTACACCTTCCTCTCGGCGATGTGGTATCCACTGGTGGATACTTTCTCCACCAGCTATTTAGCAGGAGTAAATTACACTCGACATGGGTATCAGGAATAAGGAAGAAGTAAACTAGGTAAATAAAGGTGGTGTAACTGGTGTAATTTGCACTGGTGGACACTGCACCAACAGCGAACGAAAGAACCTATTATTTGTTAATACTCAGAGTCAATTTTCACTCTCATAATGGGTAGAAGAAAAAAGAAAAAGCAGTAGTGTGCAAATTTTGCAATAAACGGTTTGAGTTTCCAAATGTGAATAATATTTACCCATTTTGGGTAAATATTTTTGGATATTTTTCGGGGACTATTCCGTAAAAATAAATACCTGGGTATTTTACATCACTAGTTGTAGTGCTTGAAAACAGTATGATATTGATAATAATAATTACACTTAATACAAACTTATATAAAAAAAGGATATTAAGTTTTGAACGGAACTCACAAATGATAAAATTATTGGAAAAAGTGAACACCCATTTTAAATTACCACGAACCGCCACTGATTACTAAGCAAACAATCAAAAGTGGTTATGATAATGATTGACGATACATAAGTTACAAATAGGTCAGTATTACTTGTAAAAGGGTCATCGTGAAAGGAACAAAAACTAAGACTGGTGCAGCAGTCAATGGTTTTACAATAAATATTGTAGAAGAGAAATAATTAATTTTACTTTACCTTTCAGATAAATCACTGTCTGCCACCTCCCTCTCAGGACTCGAAATATGTTTTTCTGGACTTACTACTTCTTTCTCCGTAACGGAATGTTCAACAGTTTCTTCCTCTTTTACTTTCTGATCTTCCGAAACCTTCTCTTCCTCGATCTCAACGGTAGCTACGACCATTTCTTTATCCAGTTCCGGAACGTTATTCACAACCTCCTTGATAGCTTGAGCTAATTCCTGATCCTGTAGAACAGGAGAGTCGGTTCTTAGATTGGAATTCGCGCAGATTTCAATGTGTTCTTCTATAAGTTTTTCCGAATTCGTCAAAATTTCTTGAAGAATCTCTTCGACGACCTCACCTCTTTCGTCGGAGATTTTGACGGGACTACCGAAGCTGGGGCTGCTTTCAGTGTGCAAACCGTTGCAGACAGGAGAGTCCCCGACTTCATCTTCAGCTAGCTTGAGTGGCGAGTCTTGAGAATATGGTGATTCTTTGCTGTTTTTTCCATCACTAAATAAATCACTAGTCCTCGAATCTAAAGACACCACTTCACTGTCTTCATGTTTGACGATGTACGATACGGGACTGCCGTCCGATAACGTCGAATTGTAATCGCAACTACAAACTTGTTCCGACTTGTCGTTCTCGTTCAGTTCGATTTCTTGAAGCGACGCTCGCGAATTCTGCCATCTTTCGTTGTCCGAATGGCATCCGTTCGGTATATTTTGGGCGCTTCCATGCCAACCGGATATAGTGCTGATGGGATGCTGTTGTCTGACTACGGGATCCGTGATGTTGTCTGCTCGGTGCATCTCGTAGCGTTCGTACATTTGAGCAAATTGTAGTTTGAATTCTTCGTAAGAAACCTATGGAAATACATAGTTTATACTTTTGTATTGCAGATATGTCAACTCTCTACGGGCTTCGACAGAAGATAGTGGCCGGAACCCAGCCACTGAATGTGTGCCAGAACTTGAGGGAGTGTTAAACGAGGAAAAAGACCTCTTGGCCAGGAAACTCTTAAAGCACTTTAAAAGGTAAACGTACAATTCAAATTAATATTACTGCCCTGTCAACAGTCCTTCTAAGCTCTGGCAGGTAACTTTTGATTAGGTGCCGAGATGTAATGGGAGTTTTAGGAAACGAGAAACCAGACTTCCTAGCCAGGAAGCCTTAAGTACAATCGAAATTAATAGACTACCAAAAGTCTCTCATGCCTTGGCAGAACATAATAAGGTCACTCTTGAATAGCTGCCGGAACATGAATGAGTGATGGCAAACGAGAAAGCAGACCTTCCGAGCCAAGAAGGAAGTATAGAAAACTCTAACTGGACCCCAGCCTAGATTTATCAAGTGAACAGGTAAATAGAGAACACCATATCCTAGTTGGAACGAGTTGGACTCAGGTAGTCGAAAATATTCATAAAGCAGATTAAACCAAGCAGGAAATAACTCAAGGCCGTAATAGGACCCTTTACGGGACATTGTGGTCTTAGAAGATACACCTAAATACTGTTAACCCTTTCAGTCATGGTGTCCTAAATTTAGTACAAAATTTAACATGCCTCATAATGTACCTATTGGAGATTTTTATCCGTCTGTTCACGTTGTACTAAATTTAGAACGCTTATATTTAGTACCTAAAAAGGTCTGCTTCTACCCAGTTGCCAGAATAAATTTCACAATGACTAAACTTTCCAGCTTGTTAGTGTGATGACGGCACATGCTGGCAACGCTGGAAAGATCACTCAGAGTTTCCTGTTCAGACTTGATTAGGCGCTTCTAAAATTTTATTAGCATTCAGCAGTACCGTTTTGCTACTACAACGTGGTACATCTCCAGTTTTTTATTTTTGTTTACGAGCTATTGATCCGTAAAGAACTGTACTAAATTTAGGACATTGTGATTCAAGAGGTAACATAAAAGTGATAAATTTAGATCATCGTGGTAAGTAAAATAATGATTTTAGTTGATATTTGTGATACAGTGAAGTTGTTTCCAGGAAAGTAAAAATAATGAGTCGGAAAAGACCGCTAACAGAAGAAGAACTCTTTGAGCTCATAGAAAAAGGACTGTCGGACATTGAATGCTTCAGCGATGATGATGACGATGACGATGGACGGGAAAGCGACCAAGGTATGACTATAAATAGAATGTTTTAGGTTGTTTGAAAGTTTATTTTTATTTATTTTAGAATTTTAGAAATAGAGAGTGATAGCGACTTGCCTAATGCAGAAAAAGTGGTAGATGAAAGTCAAGAAGGAATTACAACTAATGAAGAAGTATAAAAAGTAGATATTCCAAATGAAATTACCCCGCCCGCATCCTGGGACCAGCCATGAACAGACACTTATAAAGAAGGAACAAGTTCGTATTTTTTTAAAAAATTCTCAACTCACTGAAAAATCGGAGATTAATTGGAAAAAAATTCGAATTAATGGTTGAAAAAAAATAACCTGTGGGCTGTGCAACAAGCTAACAGATTTACTCCCACAAATGTAGAGGAGCTCAAAGCATTTGTTGGTATCCATATTCTTATGGGAAATCTTCATTATCCCCGAATACGATGTATGTTACTGGCATCCTGTGCTCCATATTCCTAATATATCACAAACAATGTGAGTAAATAGATTTTTTCTCTACGGCAAAAGCTGCATTTTGTTGATGTCACTACAGATAATAATCCAGCCGATAGGTTTTGGAAAGTTCGCCCATTATATGACACTCTTAGAGCAAGATGTTTATCGCTCCCTCTAGAAACTTGTCTCAGCATAGATGAGCAGATGGTATCATTCAAAGGTAAACTAAACGTGAAGCAGTATGTGCCGAAAAAACCTAAACCGTAGGGTATAAAAATATTTGCACTATGTGGCGTTAGTGGACAAATGTTTGACTTTATAATCTATCAAGGGTCAACGACAGAACTCCGCCAACAACAACTAGATACATTCGGACAAGAAGCAGCAGTAGTTTTAAAACTAGCTGAACGTATAAATCAACAAAACGTCCAGTTATATTTTGACAACTATTTCTCTAACTACAATTTGCTGCAGTATTTGCGTCATAAGAATATATTTGCAACCTGCACCGCCAGACTTGACAGGTTTCACAAACTGCCATTTATTTCTGATAACGAAATGCGAATGGAAGGGGAAGTATGGAGCAACTAGTTAGTGGTGATGGAGAGGTTGTACTCACTAAATGGTTTGACAATAAATCAGTCAATATGGCATCGAATTTCATGGGAATAGGTGAACAGGATTATTGTCGCAGATGGGACAAGCAAAAGAAAGATTTTGTACAAGTACCCCGGCCAGAGGTGATCAAAAATTATAATCGAAACATGGGAGGGATTGATAAAATGGATTTCCTGATAACCATTATACGTTCTAAAAAATGGACATTGCGCATGTTCACACATGCTATTGATATAGAAAAAAAGCTACAGCAATAGGAGTTCCAAAAAAACAAGTTCTCGATCTTCTCCACTTTCGCAGTTACATTGCAGAAGTATTGATAAAGTCAAACAAACATATATCAAAAAAAAGGGGGCGTCCTTCTGGAGGTATGGTGGATGAGGAAGCAACCCCTCCGAAAAAGAAGAAAACACCAGCTGTTAGAAGACCTTTGGCAGAGGTACGTTTAGATGGGATGGACCACTTACCTCAGGTGGATGAAAGTTATGTAAATCGTTGTAAATTACCGCAAAGTGCAAAGGCAAGACTTGTTTTAGATGTTCTAAGTGTAATGTAAATTTATGTTTGTCCAAAAAAAAAAAATTGTTTGTTTAAATATCATACTATAAAATCATTTGTATGATTTATTATGATAATAAAATTTTCTTTTTTTTTATTTACTGTAACATTGAGTCCGTTGAGTCATCATGTCCTAAATTTAGTATATACTATAACAAAAAAACTAGCAATCGTAGCAACTTGAGTCTAGTACCAAAAAATTGTAAAAAAATTAACATAAACACAAACGCAATTTCATATTTTTAAATTACGAAACAAAAATTAGTGACCGAAAGGGTTAAGTAATAAAAGGTCAGTGGCCTACTCTGGTAACACCGCCTGCGAGCGGACAGTTGACATTGATCTATTGTATAATGACTTATTAATAAATGGCTGAAGTAGAACCAAGCTCTTTTAATTTCCATATTACTCAAGTGACTAGTGATTATACTAATTACACAACCACAGTGTTATACAAATACCTAAACATCTTAGGTATATCTGACGATTCATCCCTATGAAGAAAATTATCTAACCTGATGGGATTGAAACCAATAGGGCTACAATTAACTCAAAATTTCAGTGCCATTTTGTAAGAGGGTTTCTCGCAACAAAGAAAATCGTTCTTACTAGTGACGCCTTAAACTCGGAAACATTCGGGTACCAGATATATTAATATGCTGCGTCAAACGAACACTGGTAGCCTCAGATGGAGATATAGAAAGTTCCAGATAGTAAAGCTGACATCAGATTAATATTCTAAGAGAGTAACAATAGCGGCTTTAATCGTTTGTTTTAGATAATTTTAAGAAGCTAGTAAGGTAAAAAAAGTTCAATGAGGTCGATACACAGTTAAATAACCGCAATTATAAGACAATAAAAGAAATGTCTTAGGAAAATTACGACGTAAAATGGACACAGACATCGATGCTACTAAGCACGATGGTTTAGCAGAGAGAACATTTATGGAAAGATATCCTAAGTATTTAGATTAATTACAGAATTTTCTGTTTTTTACTGAATTACAATGGTTAATATTATATTCTGTAATTAATGGTAAAATATTGGCCAGAAACATCTAGGCCAATGAAACCAATGAAGATATTTGATTGTTGTTGATTTAAGCTAAGTAATTGCGAAACATTTTCTAATCCAATAACCCTCGGCCAGTGATAAATACTTATATTATCACTGTCTTTGGGAATTACTGCTAATAATTACCTTGGAATGTACAATAGCTAACGTATCGACCCACACCCTCCATCCTCCATATTCGTACTTTATAGCGTGATGAAGAAGCATTCTGAATAAAGAATAAACCATATCGGAAAGTTTCTGTTCTTCGCCGTTCTTCGGATGAATATACGCCATCGCTATCAACCACTCCTGCCACACTGACATTTGCAACACGGTTCGTCTGTTTTCTCTATTGTTATTACATAGTAAAGTCATGTCGGATAAAAACAATTTCTTGACGTCCAACAGCTGTTCCGTTTGCTTGGATTGTCTGACGAGAGTGGCCACTACTTTGAGGATCACTGTAAATTATTTTAAAATTATATTTTAAAGAAAAATGTCAGGTAACTTGATACAACGAATATAGATTATAAATTGTACTTACTTGGATTTTCTAATCTAAAATGCGACTCGGGTTCAGGATGTCGAGTATACAGGATCTGTTGACTAATGTGTTCCGTCATAATTTCATACAGCACGTTGTAAGTGGGCAAGGATAACGTATCTTCGTTCAACAGCAACCTAAATTGAACAGAATTATGAATTACCTAACCAGGAAACTAGACGTTGATATTAGGAGTTTACATCCGACGTCTTTATGAAAATATAATTAAAATTTAAAATTAATCCTAAGCGCTCTACTCTTGAAACTTAAAAACTTCCCGTGTAATCCCGAGATTAATAAGGATTTGTTGGATACACGTAAAATTAAACGTTTTTTATAGAGAATTATTTACAAAGCGAACTAGAAGTAATGCCGCTCATTAATTTTTTATTCGTATATAAAATTGGTTTTGAAAGGGTACCAGTGTCGCGGTGAATAAGGATAAAACTCATACAATAGAGTAATATAAAAGCTACAAGAGTAGATAGCCAACTTATAGAGTTATTGTAAATGGACAGTTGGTACAAAAAAATGTAGGTACTCACCTTTCAGCCAGCAAAGTGTAAAGATTATAAGGACTCATGACGTCGTACTTTCTCTTGTGCGTGCTTCGGCTCAAAAAGAAGCCAAGCAGTTTCAAAGCCTGCAAGCGGATTAGCTGACTTTCCGAAGCTAGCAACTTAAAGATGGTTCTTACGCCGCATTTACTATCGAAAGCCGGCACCATTGACGAGGGATGTTCGGACATGAGGGAAATAAGCATCTGAAGTACGTCGTGGAGGTTGTCGTCTTCGTGGATTGTAGTGAGGTAGTTAAGGATGCTCTGCAGCTCGTCGTCTTTGAGACCGTTGCCGACCATGATGAGTTGTTTAAGAAACAGAAGGATGTAGGAACGAATGGCTAAAATGTCCTTTTGGGCCGGTCTTGGCCCATCTAAAAATATTACGCATATTAAATTAATTAAAATGAATCAATCAAAATGAATCAAAATCAATTAAAATGAATCAATTAAAATGAATCAATTAAAATGAATCAATTAAAATTAATAAATTAAAATGAATCGAAATGAATCGAAAGGAATCATAATGAATCGAAATGAATCGAAATGAATCGAAATGAATCGAAATGAATCGAAATGAATCGAAATGAATCGAAATGAATCGAAATGAATCGAAATGAATCGAAATGAATCGAAATGAATCGAAATGAATCGAAATGAATCGAAATGAATCGAAATGAATCGAAATGAATCGAAATGAATCGAAATGAATCGAAATGAATCGAAATGAATCGAAATGAATCGAAATGAATCGAAATGAATCGAAATGAATCGAAATGAATCGAAATGAATCGAAATGAATCGAAATGAATCGAAATGAATCGAAATGAATCGAAATGAATCGAAATGAATCGAAATGAATCGAAATGAATCGAAATGAATCGAAATGAATCGAAATGAATCGAAATGAATCGAAATGAATCGAAATGAATCGAAATGAATCGAAATGAATCGAAATGAATCGAAATGAATCGAAATGAATCGAAATGAATCGAAATGAATCGAAATGAATCGAAATGAATCGAAATGAATCGAAATGAATCGAAATGAATCGAAATGAATCAAAATGAATCGAAATAATGAATCGAAATGAAATTAATCAAAATTAATCGAAATTAATCTAAATTAACCCAAATTATACCAAATTAATCTAAATTAATCGAAATTAATTGAAATTAACCGAAATCAATCTAAATTAATCTAAATTAATCCAAATTAATCTATTCTTATTCTTCTTCGAAATTCGAAATTATTCGAAATTATTCGAAATTAATCTAAATTAATCAAAATTATTCTAAATTAATCAAAATTAATCAAAATTAATCAAAATTAATCGAAATTAATCGAAATTAATCGAAATTAATCGAAATTAATCGAAATTAATCGAAAATAATTGAAATTAATCAAAATTAATTAAAATTATTCAAAATTAATCAAAATTAATCAAAATTAATCAAAATTAATCAAAATTAATCAAAATTAATCAAAATTAATCAAAATTAATCAAAATTAATCAAAATTAATCAAAATTAATCAAAATTAATCAAAATTAATCAAAATTAATCAAAATTAATCAAAATTAATCAAAATTAATCAAAATTAATCAAAATTAATCAAAATTAATCAAAATTAATCAAAATTAATCAAAATTAATCAAAATTAATCAAAATTAATCAAAATTAATCAAAATTAATCAAAATTAATCAAAATTAATCAAAATTAATCAAAATTAATCAAAATTAATCAAAATTAATCAAAATTAATCAAAATTAATCAAAATTAATCAAAATTAATCAAAATTAATCAAAATTAATCAAAATTAATCAAAATTAATCAAAATTAATCAAAATTAATCAAAATTAATCAAAATTAATCAAAATTAATCAAAATTAATCAAAATTAATCAAAATTAATCAAAATTAATCAAAATTAATCAAAATTAATCAAAATTAATCAAAATTAATCAAAATTAATCAAAATTAATCAAAATTAATCAAAATTAATCAAAATTAATCAAAATTAATCAAAATTAATCAAAATTAATCAAAATTAATCAAAATTAATCAAAATTAATCAAAATTAATCAAAATTAATCAAAATTAATCAAAATTAATCAAAATTAATCAAAATTAATCAAAATTAATCAAAATTAATCAAAATTAATCAAAATTAATCAAAATTAATCAAAATTAATCAAAATTAATCAAAATTAATCAAAATTAATCAAAATTAATCAAAATTAATCAAAATTAATCAAAATTAATCAAAATTAATCAAAATTAATCAAAATTAATCAAAATTAATCAAAATTAATCAAAATTAATCAAAATTAATCAAAATTAATCAAAATTAATCAAAATTAATCAAAATTAATCAAAATTAATCAAAATTAATCAAAATTAATCAAAATTAATCAAAATTAATCAAAATTAATCAAAATTAATCAAAATTAATCAAAATTAATCAAAATTAATCAAAATTAATCAAAATTAATCAAAATTAATCAAAATTAATCAAAATTAATCAAAATTAATCAAAATTAATCAAAATTAATCAAAATTAATCAAAATTAATCAAAATTAATCAAAATTAATCAAAATTAATCAAAATTAATCAAAATTAATTAAAATTAATCAAAATTAATCAAAATTAATCAAAATTAATCAAAATTAATCAAAATTAATCAAAATTAATCAAAATTAATCAAAATTAATCAAAATTAATCAAAATTAATCAAAATTAATCAAAATTAATCAAAATTAATCAAAATTAATCAAAATTAATCAAAATTAATCAAAATTAATCAAAATTAATCAAAATTAATCAAAATTAATCAAAATTAATCAAAATTAATCAAAATTAATCAAAATTAATCAAAATTAATCAAAATTAATCAAAATTAATCAAAATTAATCAAAATTAATCAAAATTAATCAAAATTAATCAAAATTAATCAAAATTAATCAAAATTAATCAAAATTAATCAAAATTAATCAAAATTAATCAAAATTAATCAAAATTAATCAAAATTAATCAAAATTAATCAAAATTAATCAAAATTAATCAAAATTAATCAAAATTAATCAAAATTAATCAAAATTAATCAAAATTAATCAAAATTAATCAAAATTAATCAAAATTAATCAAAATTAATCAAAATTAATCAAAATTAATCAAAATTAATCAAAATTAATCAAAATTAATCAAAATTAATCAAAATTAATCAAAATTAATCAAAATTAATCAAAATTAATCAAAATTAATCAAAATTAATCAAAATTAATCAAAATTAATCAAAATTAATCAAAATTAATCAAAATTAATCAAAATTAATCAAAATTAATCAAAATTACTCAAAATTAATCAAAATTAATCAAAATTAATCAAAATTAATCAAAATTAATCGGGACTTTATGTTCCGAAACAACTTATTTTGTAAAGTAAAAGTATTGTGCAGCGAACAGAGATAATGTTCCTTTATTATTTTAACATGGTTCTGTATATGTAAGGTAGGGAGGGTGGGTTGTTCTACAGCTCTTAGGCCTCATTAGGCTCAATACTGATCCTTCAGAGGCATATAGGACTTGTCTTTCAATTTATTGTCCCTGAGAAGTCTCTAGAGACACCCAGCCATGTTCCCAGCTGATCAAAGTCTTGCAGAGTATCAACTAGTCAAAAACTTCTTTGAATAATTGTTACGTTTAATGATGGTTGTTGTTCGTCTTAATGTCTTTCAACAGTTATAGAGGCTCTATTGGTATGTTCATCGGATGTAAACTCAGCTATGGCGTTCATGGTGGTTTCTCTATTGAAGTATGTACAGCCGTGGTACAATTACTACTCTTTGTTAAACACCAGATTTTATAGGAGATTGAAAAACCTTCATTCTGAACTCTGCCAATTCAATATTATTTTAAATAATTAGGTTCAGCCGTCATATTTTCTAAATCTTCAGTAACATATTATTTCTTAAAAGCTAACGGTTCGCTATAAGATTCTAGAGTTAACAGCTCCGTAGCGGGAAATAAATAACGCGTTACGATTAAAAAGAGTTTTATTGAATGCCCGGCCACGGGCTCATTTATTTCCTTCTTCGTAGACTCATTATCTTTTCGAGGGGATATAAAAATGCGGAGGTTGTTAGTTTTTATAGGTGTGAAATTTATGAAACGCTTGATAAAAGGTAATGATTCGAAAATAAAAATAGTGAAGTTATTTATATCGAAAAGTGTACTAGAGAAGATTAGAGTTTCGGATAAAGATTTTGTTTCAAAAACGAGATGGCCTGGAAAGTTACATATTGCTTATATGTAGAGTGGAAGGAAAGTTTTTTAGTGACTGTCAAATGGTTAACTAGTAATTACACCTTAACCTCTTTTTTCCAATAGCATTTGTCATATTTTTTAGGTTAGGTTAGTAAACAGTAAAGTGTAATGTAAGCGTAGTAGACGTATATACGGATTCATTCTACTAGCACAAAGTATCCCCACTCAAATTAGCAGCTTCTTTCTAATGCGACAGCCGATGCGACAGCTCTGTCTGCGTAATAATAAACATAATCTGAATGACTGCAATAAAAAAACCGCTTTATTATGAATGAATGGATTATTCTAGTCGTTGAGTGAGGACTATGACTCATCTAGGAGGAATTACTACCCAGGGCCGACTAGAGGGGGGGGGGGGTAGCCGGGACCAATTCCCGGGGCCCAGACTCAAATGGGGGCCCTGCAGCGGTATAAGGCGGGCCCGGCAACTGGATTTTTTTTGTTTTGTATGAGAAATTCGACACAAGACGAAAGGGGGAAGTTTTAGGAGGCGGAGCTGTTTTTTTTTTAGAAAATTCAATTCAAGTAGAAGAGAAAAAGTTTTTGTCACGGGGCCCGATCTACAGAATTGTCCTGGGGCCCGGCCTGGCTCTCGGCGGCCCTGTTACTACCACACATAATTCGGCTATCCCGAAGCAGTCTGGAGCTGGGATATATACCAGAAGCATGAAGAAGGGCCAGAGTCACCTTGATTCTAAAAGGATACCACACATCCTAAATCCTTCCTACCAATCAGCCTCACATCCTTTGTATTAAAAACAATGGAGAAGGCTGTTGATAATTATATCAGAACGGAAGTCCTGGAGTGGGTGCCACTCCACCACAGCCAACACGCGTATCGAGCAGGAAGATCTACAGAAAATGCCCTGGTACAGTTGAGTGACGTAATCCAGGATGCACTGACAAACAAAGAAACGGTCGTGTGTGCCTTCCTAGACATAGAAGGAGCTTTTGACAACACGCCACACGAATCTGTAAAAATAGCACTTGCATACAGAGGAGTAGACAACATCACATCCAGATGGATGGCTCAGCTGTTATCTACGAGA